CAAGAAGGAGCCTTTCATTCTAAATAAAAATAAATGCCAGACTGATGTATAAATTGTTTTCAAAGATGAAAGATTTATGTGTTCAGAAGAGAAAACTATAGATTTTCTTTTCAGAGCAAGATTTCAAGCATTAACAAAGATTGAAATAAATAAAATATATTTCTTATAAAATTCTTGATATCTAAGCTCTGGCATTACATAATATTTTTAAAATTTTCGATCCTCAGGAGAAAAAAATAAAAGTTAAGTTTTGACTAGGATTTCAAACTTAACCAATTGTATTACAGTATTTTTATTGTAATCTTTGGATACTATCTTTGTCTTTCACAGTTTGTTTTATGAATAGAATTCTTGTTAAGGCAATGTATGACTGCTTTCCATTAATACTCAGTTCTTCTGAACAGGATGCCTTGGACATTAAGTTTCTCCTCTTGGTTAGATTCAACACTGACTCATCAACCAAATTTCCCAAATGGACCAAATTGTCTCTTATTCTGCTGATTTCCCCACCCAACAAAATGGTGTTTACTTTAAAATCATGTTGTAGAGATTTTTTTTGTTTGTCGGTTTTCTTATTTAGCTGCAAAGTAAGATACAAAACTTTTTAATACTTAACTATTGCTCTGTCAAAACAACCGTACAATGGAATTGGATCTGATATAAGAGTTGAGTTCAAGAGTCTGCTGAAAGAGTCATATGTAGCCATTTTTCTCTTAATAAAACTCATTAGGTAAAAAATGCAGTATGTGTACCCATATTTATGCATACATTAAAGACTGGTATATTGTGTCTAAAAAAGTATGTGGCTTTTTTTTTTATTAGCATTGGAATAAATGGTTTTCCAGTTAAATACTGTAGAATAACCTGGCTTGCTTTGGGACCCATTTCATGCCAAACACAAGAGCCTTTTCATACTAGAAACTTTCTGAGCATAGCTTAAAGCTTACTGAGAAACTGATAGTCCCTGGGGCAGCAGACTGGAGGTGCCATACCTCACCATGGTCTTGTGCTCAGGGAGAGCAGTTTCATATGCACTGACATGTATGTCATGTATGCAGTCTGAAAATGTGGTTAATTTCACACATAATACAAATGCATGTTTTGCAACTTCGCTATAATATGTTTCTCTAGCATTTTTAAGAACTAGATTTGTAGGAAAAGCATCAGATACAGTTATGGAGATGCAGAAAGAATTTAAGAATTGGGTAGTTGGCATTTTGAATGTGTGTATTTTTAACCTTGATAGATGTTGTTTAATCAAAATTGTCCCAGAACTAAATAAGTTCAATTGTCTCATACTTTTAAATTATACAGTTATGTTTGCAGTGTTTATTATCTACAAATAAGGTTATTCGTAAGTTGTTTCCTACAAATAACATGCCTCCCTTTTTTATTGAGAAACAAATATCAATGAGACAGTTTCCAAACTGATTAATAGGAGAGTTTCAGTAATTAATACATTGTACATTGTTATCTTTTTAGTGGTTATCCATAGTATAAGATGCAGACAGAATATCCTGTCCAAACACTATTAGTATAAATCTTTCTTCTCATTGAATTAAGCAAAAGTAGCTGTATAACTATCCTAACCATTCTGCATATACAGATACAAAATGGTCCTTCCTTTTAATCCCCTTTTTTGTGTAGTCCTGTCAGAGATGGGTATTCCGTTGGCATCTAAATACTAGAGGTGTGTGAATTCAACAAAGCAATCCAACACAGTCGACAACAGTAGTGGGTTATCCACAGAAGTTGACTTGAGCCCTTCACAGCTCGGCATATCAACATGGCTTTACTTTATATACTCACTTTTGTACTTTTCTGCTGGATGGTTAAGACCAAGATAATGTAAGACCTATATAACAAGAAATGTAACTTTTGTATCTGATAAGGTCAGTCAAGTACCCTCAGGATTTATCCTGTAACCCTGTACTGCAGTTTTGCAGATCCTTTGTCAGTGTCAGCCATGTGGATGAGTCACAGCCATTGCTTGACCAATTTGTTCTCTGTGGAAGCCTGAGAAAGTGTTTTCTCTTCAGGTGACTCTCCTTAGGCACACACTATGTACTATTTACTGAATGATCTGTTTTTATAAATTCTAATTTATTTGGAAATAATAGCTTAAAATATTGCTCAAGCAACTTGTCAAAATTCTTTGTTTCAAAATGCTAACTTCAGGAATGAAATATTGAGAATAAAGCAAAACCAAGTACTTCTAAGACATTTGTAGCATAGAAGTTAACAAGTGAGTCTGTTGGAAGTATATTTAGGATTTGAGAAACAGTGACAAGAGCAAAATCCAGGTTTGGGGGAATGTCATAAGAAAGAATTGGTTCATGTGCCTTAATAAAAGATAAGAATGATCTGCTATTAGCTTGTCCAGCACATAGTGCTTCAAACAGCCTGAAATAAAGCATATCCCGACATCTCAGACCAGTATATGCTGTTATTCCTTTATGCCACCAATGAAAAAAGAATCTTTAAAAATTAACTCCACGATAGTGAGGTTAAGCTTGATAGCGTAAATCGTTTGATAATAACAA